GCCAACTGTGCCACAAAAAAAAAAGGGGGGCAGCGCAGAGAATGCAATATGAAAGTTATGCTTGCAATGCACTTAAATGAGGGGGTTGGAAAAACCTACCGCACACCATCTGTGGAAAAGTCCTCCCTTTTTCTCTCTCCACTGCAGTGGTGGTGGTGATGGAGCAACGGAAGTCACTGTGCCAAATAGTTGGGGTACTGGGAAGAAGCGCAGTAGCTATGGAATTCAATTACTGCTAAGTGCCTGAAAGCCCAAGAGAGCCACAGAGTCCAAGTGTCCAAACTCTTGCTTTAGGATAAAATATCGCTGCATTATTTGGGTGGAACTTTCAATGTTGGATAATCCCAGCCCACGGATTACAGAATCCCATTGAATGTGGATTTTTCACTTAATTTTTAAACCATTTTTGTGGCCTTTCATTCGATCCGTCATCATGGAACTTCATAAGGCAATCATCATTCCATCAATTTTTAATCCCATTGCCATTCACTCAGTCATTCAGCTGTCAACCCCACCCAAAGCTCATTAACAACCCTTGGACATCCCTTCAGCACTTCCATCCCTTCGCTGGTTCGTTTCTCTGGCAATCACTGTCAAAAATATTGTATCTATGAAGGCCAACTACCACAAAGAGCAACCCAAAGCAGCCCAAGCGGGAAATTATCTATGTTTTTTGTATATATCGAATGACACAAAAGCCATGGATGAGTGCACCCAACAGTGGCAACTAGCCCCTGCACCCCTCCCTGCGAAAAACTGTCAACGAAATGTTGTGTTTTGTGTTGGTTTTTGGCGTTTCGAAGTTCCATCACCTGGCAGCGGTGATCCCTTCTGCTTGTCTGCTCCATCAATCCTCAATAGGCCTTAAGTGCTTATGGCACATTTATTGTGTGGCACAGACCCCCACTCATGTCGTTTCTTCTTCATTCAAACAACAGGAGACACAGGACACACGACTGAGGAGAGTGGAGGTCCCTTCCATTGACGCAGGCAGCCCCTGACATTTGTTACAATCATCAGCGAGCGAGTGTCCCCCCCTTCTCGTTGGGAAATAAAGTGCGGAAGGAAGGAAGCCTGAAGCGGAAGGAAGGCACACTACACTCCCCGTTCCCCGTCCGGCGGCCCTTCACCATTTTCCCGCATGACGTTAAAAATTGCTATTTACGGATATATCGATCGAAGTTAAGCGGATTTAAGTTAAGGCCCCTTTAAACTTTAATGCCAGTTCGAAAATTAATCAATGAAATTCAAATTACAAGCAGAGTTCTGTCGTTAACTGCTTGTCAATCTGTGTCCTCCTCCTTTTGGAACCCCTGGGGGGCATTACTCATACGTAACGTTGTCGTACACAAAATTTCCATGCTATGATTCATTCTCCCCCCAAACTTTTAGACACGAGGAAAATGCCACAATTAAGTGGCGAAAATATAAAAGAAAGGCCGAAGAGAGTGTGAGAGAGAGACACACAGAGATTTATTAAGCGTAAGCACAAGACAGTAATAAAAATGAATAAATTTTTGTTTGTCATAAAACCAAAAGAAGTCGAGCGAGTGCGGGAGGCAGTGGAGGGACACAAGGCTAAAACGTTGTCGTGGCAATGGGATACAGATTATGCCGCTGTGGGGGTGGGAGGGAGGGATTGGGTGGGAGTTTGCCTTGAAGGTTCTTCTTGTGGTGGCTTTTCTTGAGGGGAAATGGATATTATATACAGAAGAACTCTACTCTGGAAAGTCAAGAGCGACAGTTGACCTTTGTATCTGCATTTGTTCCATGAAACTTTCAGTTTTGGCCATGGCTAAAAAGGTCACAAACATATACATATATACATGTACATACATGCATATGCATGATTGTGGTATACTTTCTAGGGGAAAACTTTTACAGGAAGGTTTTTTTTTTTCTAATTACAGATATTAAATAAAAAGGGAAATTAAATGTATTTCGGTTAATTATCGGATTGGTTGTGGGGAATAATTAAACAGAGCAGCACTGCGTTTCAGAAGATATACTAACAGATACAGAAAGTAACCAGCAGATACAACAATTACACACAGACACAGATACGATAGAAAAAGAGTTAGTAAAATTTAATGGCATTTTGCTGATGGCTGCACAAACCTCTGCGGCGTCTGCGGCCTCGCTGCCTCTGCGAGTGGCAGATGTTGGAACAATTAACGCGCTTGGGTGCCACACAAATTACAGTTGAAAGTCACCCAAAAAAGCCACCACACAGCGAAACCACCACAGAAACCAACAACAAATACAACAAATACAACAATTGTTGTAATGGAGCGCATAAATTCTAATGAACCCCCTCCCCATAATGAGCTGAGGGGGCCAAAATTGTTTTGGAAAATTTGATTTGCAATTCAGGCAAATGGAAAATAATGTTCCCATGAAAATTGTATGGAAATGTTATCTTTTTTGCTATCTAATGGAAAATTAGAATGAATGCACTTTGATAAGGTAAATATTATTTTCGGTTAAATAATTATAATTAAATTATAATTTGCCAGGAACGCAGCATCAATGCTGTGAAATGTGAGAGGAGAACTTTTGTTTTTCAATCAAAACAACCCAACAACAAATGGAACACAACACATTCCAGTGCAAAATCTAGTTCAAAAACACAAAAAGATATTCAATGGCGGGCCGCCATGTAAGAGTGGTTTTAGAAACCAAACATTTTCTAATCAGAAGAAGCCATGGAAATCGATGGAAAACTTTCGAAAATGAAATTGCAATCGACTGCGACTAAATGCAGTTGAAAGTTCGAAAGTTGGCATTGCCATGACGACCCCAACAACCAACAACAGCAACACAGCAACAATGGGAGCAACAACAAAACGGCAGAAACAGCAACAAAAGCCACGTCTAAATAACAATAAACTAACCAACAAACGGGCGGAGCCTAACAAAACGCACGGCTCAATGCTTCAACAACAACAACAAAAGTACCACACAAGAACGAAACAACAATAAACGAAGGCTGCTTTCGATACTCTGTAATACCCCTTGATCCGCTTTAGGGGATCCTGTCTTTGGTGCATAGCAAAGCTCTGATCAAAATCATAATACTCTGCTCTCAAAAGGGTATTGCAACAACACCAGTCTACAGAAAGAATCCGCAGAACAACAAAACAAAAAGAAGCTTTGAAACCAAAGCACCTGCTGCCTTGCATCTCTCTCTTGCTCGCATGCACTCTCTCTCTGCTCCCTCTCTCTCACTCTCTCTGCCCGTGTGCTGTGCGTGGAATGCTAGACTTCTGTCGCAGCATTAAATTCAATTAAATTAAAACAAATTCGTGCAATAAAACTGCAAATAAAGCGCACATGAAGAATGTGTCCATTTATATTTAAAGCAGCTTCTGGGGCTAAAAATAGCCCCAACTTGTGATAAGCCGACAGACCAGACGAGCTATAAATATAACTGCGAAACACAAGCAGAGCAGAGCAGAGCAGGCCAACCCAAAGAGAGTCAGTCGTACAGATGAACCGAATGAGAGTGGGAGAGAGGGAGAGTAAGATCGAGTGTGTGGTGTGTGACAAACAGAGCAGGTCAGAGGCTTAGTTCTCTGTCTCTCTCAGTTTGTCGGTCAAGTGTACGGAGTGCTCGAGTTAGAGCTTTCAATTTACCGTTCCTGTTGCTGCTGCTGCGGCTGCAGACCCATAGGTGTGAGTGGGAGGGAGAAGTGCTTAAAGTTTGACTTCGTCTGATCTGCTGCTTCTCTATTAGCTCTTCTCACCCAGAAATTAACACTTGCACACACAAAGACCGTCGCGTCTCTGATTAACAGTTTGATAATTGTCTCTAACTTGTGCCGACTTGTTCCGAATGCGTACTTACAAAATGCTGGCAGCAACTCGAATGGTTTTCTCCGTTTTCGTATCCAATTCTTTGTTGAATTCTGCGGTTAAATCGAGCATGACAATAAACGAAATAATCGCAGTCGCAGATTGAAAACGCATAAACTTGTTTTCAAAAAATAAATAAAACACCAACAATCACTGGCACTGCAGACTGCACACTAACAAACCGCGGAGTGCGGATCGGATCGGAAACTATAGTCGGAACGGAACGGAACCGAACAGAACGAACTCCACTCTCCAAGGGGGGAAAAATACACAACAAGAACAGACTCCAAATGAAAAGCTCGAACCGACGCGAGCAGCCCCAAACAAAAGACTGACTCGAGCCAGAGTTGGAGGAAGTTGGCAGCGCCAAAAGTGGCGGACCGGCGGCTCCACGAGCGCCACCAGAGACACGACGACAACGATCGGAGCTGATCGTGCGCACAGATAGCCAGCCCCCAGTATTTGTGTGTGTGTGTGTATGGGTGTGTGTGTGGGTGTTGGCAATGCACCAAACAGAACCGAAAACCAGCAACAACAGTTACGACAATTGCTGAAAAGGGAAAGGGCGCAAAAGTTTGTCAATGCTGCTGAAGAGTACGAGAGCGGAGGGGAATAAAGTACAAGAGTGCAAGAGCGCAAGAGAGAGAGAGAGAGAGAGAGAGACAGAGGGAGAGATGCGGAGTGGAGATAAGGGAACAACTCAATGCCAAATGTTTCTGTTGTCTGCGGTGTTCGGGGAGGGGAGTTGAAGGGTATATGTGTGTATGTGTGTTGTATATAGAATATATGGAAAGGCAATACAATATATGACTACCAAGGCTAAAAGTGCTCAAAATTTAAATATAGCCATGGAGTTTTTCACTTTCTTAGGGTATCCTTCTAGTCGTAATGTCTTGCATACCATTTGTACTTGTTGCTTTTCCACTGCTATTCATTTGCACTAATTAACCCATTAATGGTGCATGTTCAATATATCTTTCAAGTGATCAAAAAGATTGCAAAAAGCAGTACAGATGAAAAACATGTTGTTAAGGTGCCAGCAGTATGTGTACCATCAAATATGTAGGTATCGGCCGCCCCCTTAACACTAATTTCCTATAATTTCACATATTTGCCAAGACCTTAATGACTGAATCGGACGCGAATCGAAGAAATCAAGAATGTGGTGGAGTCGACGGCGGTGATGATCAATTCCAATAAGGAAAGTCTACCCAATGCCACAATGCAGGTGCCGTTAGAAACCAAAGCCAATGCACAAGAATTGCGCTCATGATGATCAACTTCCAGCTCAATCATCATCGTGATGATGATGAAAAGCTTGCGCGGAAATGCCATAGAAAATTGCTTAATGAACCGTTTCGCATCTGCTCCAAATGGCAATGGCAATGGAAATGTGGCTACTCTACAACTTCACCCAACCAACCAACAACCAGTCCAATAGATCAGTCCAAACCCAGTTTCGAGTGCAGGTTCAATGCCATTAGGCATTTAATGGCAACTGCTACTGGAAAAAAACATACAAACATCTATCTCTCTGGCGATTCTTCATCTCACATAAAAGTGCTTAAATATGTATGTACAAACACAAACACTACACATTTCGAGAAATATTTATTGCGTAGGAATACGCCAGGAGATAAAAATAAATAAATAAAAAAAAAAACAGGAAAACACAAAAACTGCACACAGAATTCTCTTCTCTCTCTCTCTCGTATTCCTTTTTTCTTTTTTCGTACTATTTGTATATTATTTTATTTATTTTTGCGCAGGCGGCTGCTGTTGCACTTCAAATTGCATCGAAGATTGGGTATAGGATGGCGAATGGGAGTCGTCTCGATGACTGTCGATGAGGGGCGAAGTTTAATGGATGGAGAAGAAAAAGTTTAAGATGAGATTGCATTCAAATTGGATGCAGATGACCAGGTAAACCCAATGCAAAGCAAAAAAGGTGGAAATACAGAGAACAAAATAAAGAGAAAAAATGGAACTATTTGTAATACGGGTAGTACTTCAATCAAGTATTTTTCAGAGATAATGATGGATACCCACAGAAAAAAAGTGAGAAATATGAAAGAAAAGAAAAATCCCAGAGGAGGAAAATGAGAAATAGAAAGAAAATTGATGCCTCTTAGTCAAAAAGAATGTGGCAGACTTTGTCAATAGCTTAATATTCAAGAATTAAAGATTCAATTTACAAAAAAATTTTCGCATTTGTTTTAAGAGAGCTATTTACAAACTGCTAAGCTTCTAAACGTCTAAATGTCTTCAAATATTCTATGAACATTAAATATTCTCACATTTTACTATCGTATACTACTTAGGAAACTCTTTAATCTAGTATCTCTTCCATCGAGAACCCCTTTGCCTAACCCCACCCTATATTTTCATACACCTTTCGACTCTATTTAAAATGCAATACAATTTTTACGGCTTACCCAGTAACCCAACCCCCACCCGACAATCGCGAGACAACCCCATGTTTATCTGGCGAATATTTCCCTTTAAATTTCCATTTTATTTTTCAGCACCATAAACATTTATACGACTTTGCAATGCCAATGGATTTTCAATGAACGAACATATCTCTTGTCCGCTCATAAAAAACGGAAATCGTACGAGTACTCGTATTCGTATTCGTCGTATTCGTACTCTTGCTCGTACGTACTAAAGCTTAAAACTCACCCACAAAAACGCAGACAAGTTGGTAAATTGGCAGACAATTGGCCAATGTTTTCAGTACTCGTGACTCACCTGCAAATGAAAATGAAAATTTAAGTTATTTTTCCATGGCACAAATCATAAATCATTGCATGTTAATAGGCGACTCCACGAAATCTCTCAACAGATACATTTTCGTGTTGCAACAAATGATGAAGTCACGTAGAGGCGCTTGTGTGGCACGTGCCTCAAAAAGAAAAAAATCGAGAGACAAAGCATAATTAACTAATTAATTTGCCAGACAGCCAGCAGTGGCAGTGGCAGCAACAAGCTTTAACTAAAAAACTTTTGCAAAAATTGCTCAAAGCGTGGAGGGAGAAGCATTCCAGGGGCAGCTAGTTAGTGGGAAGAGAGCGGCTAGGCAACTAGGTAGTGGGAGAGAGCTAAAAACTGTGATTATATGTGTGTGGATGGTGGGGTGGGCGTGTGCCTTTGAGTGGAACTCATGCTTCTTTCACAGTTTCCGTCGTAATGCTCTACCCTAGGATACGGTATCATAGCTGTACGTACGTGTGACTCAACTAAAAAACATTCAATTCAGAGACTCCATTCATTTATTTCCCGTTTAATATTTGTTCTTTATTTCTGTGAGCTGGATATATTCTGGTTATAAAGAGAAGAGATATAAAATCGAACAAATCAATTCTGAAGTGTATCCAAAGCACTGTTTCCCCAATCCTAACCTGTTCTTCTAAATTTTGTTTTTTGGTTTTGCTTTTGCTGAAAGTTTATTTATTTTTTATTTGCCAACATTTCAATCGCTATTTGCCAGCGTTTTAGCTCTTTGTTTGTTCCTTATTGTTTATGACTTTTTGCGCTTGCTGACTTTTTATGACTTCCCTTTAACCCACAGCACACTCCACACTCCACACACCACACACCTCTCCCCTCTTAGCAACAGAGCTGCCGCTGGCCCTTCAGTGCTTTGGGGGCTTTTAATTAAGGAACGGTTTTTTATTGCCCCAAAAAGTCACGTGACATCGTCGCTCTCCATAAAATCAGTGCCAGAGGATGGATGGTACGAGGACTTGGATTACTGCTGGCGCCTCTGATGAATGTGCGTCGCCCGTCTGGATGCTAAACGGAAGGCTATATCATGTTTCACTCCTTGGATGACTGATCGAAGGAGGGTACGTAATGATGGAGGAGAGAGGCAGTGAGACCCCGACCCCATCACTCTTGGCAGAAATCTTTGAAATGCTGTGATTATTTTTACAAAAATATTTATAAGAAGATGAAAACGGGGTCACAGCAATCAATCTTCTGTGCCTTAAAATTACATATATGATTGAGGAGTTTACGTTTACAAGGAGCCAACTAGTATTAAATTCATAAAAAAAAAAATAAACTAATCTGCAGCAAACTTTTTAAAGGAACTTTTATAAAATATTATTCCGACCGAAACCATTCTTATAGTCTTATAGTTTTCTGTCCCCAACTGAGTGGCAGTCGTCTTAAACTTTTTCACTTGTTGGTTTCTTCCCACAAAAAGGCAAAAGTTTCAAGTTAATTTTAAGAAAATTAGTCTGCCACTTAAACCGTTCGGGGTCTCCCACTCCTCACAGCAGTCACCCGCAACACACTCCCCAAACAGTCAGCTCTTCTCTCAACATTACGAGAAGAGTATTATACATATGAACACATCAATCGTTCTTAAGTTAATAACACTCGAGGAAATATGCAAATTAGTCGAGAGTTTTGGGGGCAACTTTTTAGTGTTGAAAACGGAAAAGTTTTCTAAGCGCCTGCACCAACAAATAAATTGAAAGAATTATGCTAATTTTGATACCCTTTTTGGGGGCACAACCCACATGAGGAAGCAACACTTAATACAAAGGAGACATTTGTGCGATAGCTTACCTCCAGATAGGAATTTAATTCTCTTTTACACAGCTTTTCAAAACTTCTCTTAATTTCCAGAATTAATATTTATAAAATATATGATGACCCCATATGTGGGGTGATTCAACTTTTAACTATTAACTATTAAAAAGGGCGTGTTATAACGTAACTCAGAAAAGAGTGTTTTGCTTTTGAATAAACTCTAACGAAATATTTTATTTACTTTATTTGGAAAGCTAAATAAGTAGCTTGCTTTATGCTGATCCAAAAAACAAGAAATTACTATATAGAAATCATATATCAGAGAACCTGAAGCTACAAAAGTTGTCTCTCTCTCTCTCTCTCTCATTTGTACACCAATTTGTGGGCCTAATAATCGATGCACAGCGAATTGCTGGAAACCGCTGAAACAATCCGTGGGGGCAATTTACCTGCCGCATGAAATGTTGAAATGCTTTAACTGTTATTTCGTGGATACGTGCACAAATAACCGTTATAATGTGGGTTAAGCAGAGAGCAAGGGAGGTGGAGGAGAAGAAGGACGGAGGAAGGAAGGGATAGCTTGGTTGATGCCTCATCCTCTTCGCTGCTTCGATGATGAAACATAATTATGTTGAATCACTCACGTATCTGAAGGATACACAAGTGAGAGGCAAGTATCTGTAAATGTTAAATGTACAAAGGCAGTGGGGCCTGTATCTGTATCTCTGTATCTGTAGGTAGACTTTTGTAAGTGTCGCAAAAAACAATGTGAAAATTTAAGGAAAGAGAGAAGAGAAAAGAAGGAAAAATAAGGGTAAAAGGAGTAGGAAATACGGAGAAGATAAGGAGAAAGAAAGGGAAATAGAGCTGTGAAGGAGAGTCACCAAAATACGATTTAAAAAGGAGGCTGAATGAAAGCGAACGGAAATGCCATGCCACACAAATTATATGGGCCTTAAGCCTTTAACGGATTACTTTCTTCTGCCACGGCCACAAAAAGTAAAAAACCAGCTTTAAGCTCTAAAAATTTCGCATAGAAACCACTAGAATCCCTCTCATGCAATTTCCCTTTAAATTTGCTCGAAGGAAAACATTTCCTTTGTCATGGGAAAAACCCCTTAGCCTGATTTTGCTCCTTCAGCAGTGCTCATCCGAGCGACAGAGTTGGGAAAAACTTTGAAGCAAATGTACATAGGAAAAGCAGAGAGAAAAGCAGAGTCCTTAGCCATACAATGACTCGGTGGAAAAACCAGTGAAAATTCCTGTACCCCATATAAAAATGTTGCATCAAGATGCTGATGCCTTGTCTGGGCTGGGAGCTGCTGCACTCCACAAAAAAAAAAAAATAAAGAAGGCAGCAACGGCAGCAGCCATAAGAATGAACTTGAGCCACCAAAATGCGTGGCAGCTGCTGCTGCTGCTACTGCGGGGGTACGGGTGGCAGCAGAGTGGGGCAGGGGGAAAAGTCAAGCGGGTTCAACGCACTAACAAAGCCCGCAGAGAGGTGGGGCCAAGAGGCAGGCAGCAGCAACAATGAAAATTGGCAAACAAATGTCAGACAGACAGAAAAGAACAGGACAAAGGCGGTGCCCAAAGAGAGGCAATCGAAAAGGAGGGTAAGAGGGGCGCTAACCAGAGGCGAAGAATGGGCTAAGTGTGGGGTGGTAAGGCGGGTAGAAGGCGGGTGTGTGAGAGGCGTGGTCATGGTCATATAAGCGACCGACATGAATTACGCATTAAGTGAAATGAATTGCAAAAAATTATCCTCAAATGCGTGTGTAATTTTATTTTTAGGCATACGAAGCTTTTGATACCCCTTAAAAGCACATATGATATAGAGAAACAATGTGATATCCTTTAAATATAGACAACCGATCTTCGTGGCTCTTATTTATATATGTATCATGGATACACCCAGATATGTGCAAAAATGTGAGAAAAAATGCCATGGAAATTGCCAGAAATCTATGTAGAATAAAATATGGAAAAATGGAGAGGAATCAGCTGTTTGATGATAATCAGGATATATTTATGTATATATTCATAATTAGATAAAAAATATATTAGTATAAGCCTTTTCTGCATTGTCTAAGAAACCCTCTCTCAGCAAAGGGTATACCAAAGCGACCCAAGCGACAGCAACACTGTGGCAGCAATAGAGGATAATCCAAGAAGAGAGAGGATATGCTGCCGAAGCGAGAAAGGAGAAACTAAACGGAGATAGGAGGCTAGAGACGGAAGCGCCAGAGCAGGGGGACAGACAACTAGGCTGGAGAGGTGGGTAGACGGAGAGTGCAGACAGGCAGGGAGGAGGCTGTCGACACACAGAACACAAGCCAGATATTTTGGAGTTCCGTTCCGTCGCCCCACTTCATGCTGCCGAAAAACCATAAGAACTTCAAAAAGTTTTCCGCTTAACTGTTGCTGACCAAAAAAAACTAAATATACATTTTCCAGAGGCCCCTGAAGCATGGACACGTGCATTAAACAACCCCCCCACAATGCTGGCACATTCTCAGGGAAAACCCCACTGGAAAAACACCTAAAGAAAACGCACCTTGTTTTTCACATTGAATTCTTCCGTTTCGCTTTCATATATTCGTATTCGTTTTGTGTTTTTTTTTGTTGCTGTTTGTTTTAATATCTTTTTCACTAATAACTTTTTGTTTTTGTTGAGGTTTTTCTTTGGGTGGACATTCCCTTATGCGTACGCGTACAATTTACGTAAATTTCAGAGTTGAAGGACGATACGACACGTACTGCCGTCACACGACTTCCGATTCGTTGGAGAACTCAGCGTGCACTGAGATGTGTGATGGAGCCTTGGGGTTCGGGCCAGCAGTCAGAGTCAGAGCCAGCGCTAGAGACCAGACAAGTAGACCGGGCCAGAACAGGCTTAGGCCATGACAGAGACAGGTTTCGTGTGTGTGTTTTTCGCCACCATTTGGCAGTAACAAAAGCGGCTACAACGGCACTAAAAAGTCCTGAGCATTGAACAAACAGCTGATTTTTTAGCCGGTTTTTACAAACGGCGAATTGGTCAGGCGGCCAGGAGAGTAAAAGAGCGCAAAAGTAGGTGAGAAGAGAGGCACTGAGCAGAGAGCATGGCCATGCACTGAGAGAAACACTGAAGGAAATTTCTGATATTTTTTAAAGGTTTCTTTTGGGTTACTTCTCCCTTTTTTTCTTTCCCGATTTGACCGGCAAAACTTTTTTGGAAAATATTTTTTAAAATTCCCAAAAAAAAAATTTTCACACCTGGCAATACTTTACATTTCTCTCCCGCCCTCCCCAGCTTACTCTCTCTCTCAAAAGTCGCGCAAATTCGCCTTTTACTCTCTCACAAATTTTTGTATGCTCTCCCATTCACATTAATTTGTTTGTATCTGCGCACTAGAAAGGACCTTCTCTGGCCTCTCCCACTGCCGCCTCTATCCCACTTTCCCACTGCCTGCCTCTTCATTCAGTCAATAAAACAACTACTACGAAACGGCCACGACCCCCCAAAAACAGCAGCCATCACCCCAGCCCTCTCTCTCTCTGCCACTCTTTGCTTTAAAATTATGTTTGTCAAAGTTCTCGACTGTAAAATTTGTGTGGCCTGCCCCCATTGGATTAATGCAACTCCCATAGATGAGGTGGGGACATTGTACATGCATGCAGGGAGGTCTCGGAAAGTGCAACCACAACAAGCTGCGCGACAAAACAAACGCAAGCCCAGCCCAGCCCAGCCCACACTTGACCGCCTCTCTATCGAGAGACCACAAAATGTTCGCACACATCTCTGCTGTGCGTAACTTCTGCTCCAAAAAAAGGGGGGCTGGACGGCACCACCCTTTTGTGATAGTAATTATGCATCGAATGAACGCGAAAGCGAGTCAGCGGGTGGCTGGATATTATAACATTGTCAATGAAGCAGCAGCAGCAACAGCAGCCGCTGGAACATAACATAACGCCCATCCTCTAGGTGCCTGAAGAGTGAAGTGGGGCATGAAGTGCATATCACTTGTACGCCTGGTGGGATGATGGGGTTTCTTTCTGGCAGTAGGGGTTCCCTGCCTTGCCAAGGGGTTCCCTCGTTCCTGGTCGGTTGCCTCTCTTTTTGTTCTGCCACTTTTAAGGGGGGTTCCTTCTACATTTAATGGGGTTAAGTGAGTTATGATTATTTCAGGAGATATAGGGGAGGAATGGGAGGACTCGAAGCGAGTAGAACATGCAGCAAAAGTTGATGCCACACATGTGGCTTCGTTTATTTATGGCAGAGACGCCTCACTCAGTCTCTGACTTGACTGTTCCACACACATTTTGAGGTCCTTGGTGGTGCCGTGCCTCCGTGCCCTCGCAGACAGAAAACAAATTAAAGCCGGGTGACATTTTTATTGCTAGTTAGCCTCCAACAGAGTGGAGTGTGGCATGTGTGTGTGTGTGGTGCCCCGAGAGCAATGCTCGCGACAAGCCGAGGGTAAATGAACTCTTCTTTGTGTGTGGCAGGAAATTTCCTTAGCCTTAAACGGATTTTCTATTAAAGAGTCACTTCCGTTAGGGCCAATTTTCAATTAGATTGTGGTATTCCACAGAGGTCATAAATCTCTGTAGGCAAAAGTCCCATCGAAGCATCGAAGATTTTTTTAAGAAAGTCAAAAGAAAAGAAAACTTGGCCGAACAAAATTAAATTTGAAGGGCGGCTAGGCAGGAGTTTAATCCTGAGAGAAAAAAAAATAGAATGAAAAGTAAAATTTTAGCTTGGATTTCCCCCAAGAGTTTCCTCCGCAAACGTCTTGAATATCCCCGTCGGAAACCCTACGCCTCATTAGGCAGGCAAAGGCGCAACATAATTATAGAAAAAAGTATACAAAAAAAAATAAGGAGACATCCACCGCAGCAAGAAGTGTATAACAATAAGCCTCTCCTCTATCTCTCCCTCTCGAAGAGGCTTCTTAATCAGGGCAAGCGACCTGCAGTTGAATGTCCTTTTTATGCCACAACATGAACACAGGACGAAACAGACCAAGTGCCAGTGCCACAGCACGAAGACAACTTTGAGGAGCTTCCATTATGAGGCCAAGACTTTCCTTTTTTTGTTGTTTTGTTTTGTTAAGACGACTTTTGGCTTTAAGCGCCTTTTCTTTTTGCACCTTTTTCGCCACTTTTTTCGCAAGAATTGAATGAATGGCTGAATGTTCTTTGTGTGTCGTTTTGGTTGGGTTTCGTCCTCGGGCGGGCAGACAAACAGTAAACAGAATCCCATTCGATGCTGAATACGTGGTACATCCATCCATCCATGCTTCAATCCATCAATATGGTTCTGTATTTGTTGTATTTGTTTTGATGGAGCACTCACTGAATATGTTGAACTTTTCTATTTGGTTGGTTGTTGGGGGTTTTTTCCCGACAAGTTTTTCCAACAACAATAAATAAACATTTTTCCATGTCTAGACGAAGTTTTGGAATTGTAGCCAGGAGAATATGATATGGGGGGTTTGATAGGTAAAAGTTTGTATAAATATCATAAATTATAAATCGATTTGATTTTATTTGTGATATAAGTTTGAAATGTAATTTGTAATAAATAGGGTTTAATTATAGATGAAATACAGATGAAACTCTGAGAACTAGCCGATATCCAGACGGACGGACGGACAGACTATATATGGCTATATCGAATCGGCTATGTTCACAAATATAATATACCCCTTATCGCCGGCTCTTCCACCTGGCGGGAATTTAATTTAAGATTAACATTCAAGTCCGCTAGAGTCGCCCCACGCCGTTTTTCTTCTTTTTTGTTTATTTTGTTCGAAACTTTTTTCCGTCAATATTAAACTTGAAAGCTTTGCTGCCCTCACACATAGCGGCGTTTAAAGCAATGTAAAAGCTTTCAGCACAAGCAACTTTTGTCACTTTAACCAAGACAACAACCACAAGCACCCAAAGCTTTTTTTTCATATTTGAATTCTAGACTCCAGCTAGAGATCGGCGAAAGCTCAAATTTGCTCAGCAGGGTAAATAAATACAATTAAATCTATACAATATAATACAAATTTTTAATATATATGGGAAAAAAAGCACATCAATAGCATTAAATATTTTTGTATGGCTGGCGGCACAAAACTTTAGCAAACAACAACAACAATAAAACGTGTTCAAGCTTTATTTTAATACTTTTATTACCAGAAAAAAGGTTAGTCAATAAAAGAAAACAGTTTTGTTAGGCTGAAAGAGGGGGGGTTAAACTATAAAAAAAAAGTTAAAAAACTAAAAACAAAATAACACACGAATAAAATCTTTTGGAGTAAATATGGTTTTGGTTTTTGTAACATTTTTATTAATAATAATAATAATATATTTGCTTCATGGCTTCTGCGCATCCGTTTGTATCTCTGGTTAAATCATATATTTATAAACATTTAAAATTATACCGAAAAATGAATTCTACGTAAATGTTTCGTTGACAAGAACAACTTAAACTAATAAATTTTGAGCTGAAAATATACAAAGAGATTTATAGAGAGAATAGATGTCATGATTAGTATTTTGTATCGCAATTTCTTTTGCGTTTCAGTTGCTTAAACATTTAAAAATGGAGAGTGTACATAATGTGGTTAAATTAATTATTTAATTAAGAGCATAATTAATGGTAAACATACATATAAAATAAAAAAAATCATTGGCACAAGTTGCAGTCAAAATTAACAATTAATAAAGTCAGAAAACAAAGGAAATTGCTGTTAAAAGAAATTAAACATTTTTTTTTTGCCACTGTTAAGGAGAGCAGTTTGATGAATGGAACAAAAAAAAAATATATATATATTTTGCACAGTGTTTCGAAACGTAATAAATTGTACAACTTATCTGAGAAATAGAATACTTTTGGTTCAACTTAAACTAAAACATAATTCTTTAGATATTTATAATAAATGGACATTTTGTAAGTGCACTTTGTGGCGGCATATAGCATATACAGACTTAGAAAAATTAATCCAATAACTCAATAATTATTTCCATAATTTCTGCACAATTACAACAACAAATAACAGTAACGTGTGACAGTCACACATTCAATTTGTGTGTGTGTGTGTGTGTGTGTGTGCATGTGGAAATGATCACATCTCTCAGGCAGCGAGAGCAATTGCAATAATGATAATCACACCAATTACAATGAGGCACAAAGTGAGCAAATCGTTGGGTGTAATCAGGCCCACGGTGCAGGCGACAAATACGTGCTCGAGTGTTGTCCAACCGCCTCGTGCCGCGGCGCCACCAACTGCTGCTGCAGCTGCTCCTGCTCCTGCTGCTGGTGCCACAGTGCGTACTTCGCCAAACACAGAGAGCGCCTTGGAGCTGGTGGTTGGCTGCTGCTCCTCCTCCTCCACCACGGCCGCCGCCGGAAGTCCTTTGCGCGTCTCACTTACATCGCCACTGCTCTTGCCCTGCTTCTCCTGCGGTTCCACCTCATTACGTGCTGAAGTATCGTTAATTGGTATATCATCATCGTTGTCGCTGTCGTTCTTGCTGTCCATCGATTGGTTGGCTTCATTGGCTACTGGTGCTTCCATTTCATCTCCCACTTTGGTTTCATAATTGAGTTTCACCTCGGAAATGCTCAGATTAAGTGCAGGGGTCTCGTAAACGATGCTCTTGCGGCGTGGGAACTGCATGAGAGCGTCGCATTCGTCCAGGCTTTCGTTAAATTCGGTTTCGTTAGGTTCTATCTGATCCAGTATTTCTTCAGTTTCTTGCAAGCTAAATTCTACCTCTTCTAACACAAATCTACATTCATTTAGTAAAGTTTCGTTAAGATTTCTTTCGTCAAGTTGTTCTTCGTCAAGTTTTCTGTCATCGTGTTGTTCTTCGTCGAGTTTTGTTCCGTTAAGTTTATATTCGTTAAGTTTTCTTTCGTCAAGTTGTTCTTCGTCGTGATTTTCATGTATCTTTAAAGTCTCACTCGCCAGTTTATAAACCTCTTCGCTAAGACTAACAGTTTCGTCAAGTTTGACATGGCTTTCCAGACAATCTTCTGATTCTTCGTTATCTGTTATTTCGCTTGAACTAATTTCCACATCAATTGCAATTTCTTCCCCAAGACTGTCATCTGAGAGGGCATCTTCCTCGATTCTCAGCTGCATTTCCCCACAAAATTCTTTAGAAACTTCTACATCTTCCGCAGCTCTTTCGTTAAGTTCTAGTTCCTCTCTCAGGCTCTCTAGCAGCTCTTCTTCTGTGGGCAAACGTGGAAAACCATCCACGCTGGCATCCAGATCTCTACCTCTCTCTGTTCTTTCCGTATCCGTTTGCTCCTCTCCATCGGTGGAGGATTCTTCTTCTGACGCACTGATGGACACCTCTGAGACATAGTGTTCCCGCACCTCAAAGCGACTGTTGTAGCTGGTCTGCAGTTCCAGTGAGGCATTGGCATGGTGGTTGTGACTCCCGCACAATGGATAGTCGGTGAGACTCACATTGCCAGAGTCCGGGTTGGAAGAGACCTCTTCCTCTAGGGAACTCAATGAATCAAAGTGCGTTTCCACTCCAACAGTTGCCTCTGCAAGCGAAGCCTCCTTTTCTTCCTGGACCAAGGGCTGCTCTTCGTCCATCACAATGCGGATTTTGCTCGCGTAGATGCGATTAAAGTTGGGCGATAGCTTCAGGGAGGTGTCCTCCTCCAGTTCCAGGTCCTGATCCACATCCTGCTCCTGTTCTGGTATCGTTTCTAGCTTATAACTACAAATACTACTACAATTGCTAGCACTATCATTAGAGGATGTGTGTGAGGAGGATGTGGGGCTAGTAGTAACATCGCTTGCAACATTCAAAACTCGATTAGTAGCGGAGGAGGTAGTAGCTGCTGCTGGGGACATAGCGGGAGCATTAGTAGTGGCGGATGCGGAGGCGGAGGCTGTGGAGGCTGTGGAGGCTGTGGAGGCTGTGTAGGCTCTGGCTGCGGGCGATCCTTGGGCAACTCCTTTACCTGTGTGCTGCTGCTGTCTCTGCTGCTTTCTCTGTTTGGGCTGCTCTTCAATGCCAAAAATGGCAGCCAGCTCTTCGCTGGAGTTGTACTGCGATGGCGATGAGGAGTTGCCACGCACGGGCGTCAGCTGCAGCGGCTGCGGCGACACCGAGGAGCACGAGGCGGTTGTCTCCGCATTCGTCTCACGCGGATTTGTGGTGCAACTGCTGATCGTAGTCGCAGCATTCGTATTACTGGTGGTGCTCATGGTGCTATTTGTGGTGTTATTCGCTGTGGTGGACTGCACATCGTACGATGTGGTGCTGAATGTCTTGATGGGATCGGTGCTGGGTGCATGATACTCGCTGCTCTGTGACTTGATGTAGTCGCTCGAGGAGTACGGATTGAAGGAGGTAATGCTTGAGGACAGCAGGCGACTGGCATTCGAGGGACTCGATGATTTGGCCAAGCAATCGCTGCTGCTGCTAAAGGAGCTCGCTGTGGTGCTCACATTCGGTGGACAGCTGCTGCCACCTCCACTGTGACTGTTGCTGTGGCTGTTGTGACAGTTGCTGCCACTCGTTATGCTGGGGGCAGTGGTGCGTTGATCATCGGTGGTGGAGCCGGATCCGGCAGTGCTTCCCTTCGCCTGACGCTCACACTCCTGCATTATTTTGTCAATCTCCTCGAGCGTCTCTGGAACGGTAGAAATGAGAGTGGCATCAGCCCCAGCTGCCTCGGTAGCTGGTGCAGCGTTCATATTACAGGCAGCCGGCAGATTATCGTAGTCCGGTTGGGGGGCCTCCGCCAATTCGCTCAGCTGACGCATGCAGCGGCGTGCAATATGCTCCATCTTTTCCGACTGTATGGGATCCAGTTTCTTGATGAGATTCGGCATCACCAGTTGCTCGCCCTGGGCTCCGCCTGTGGGCTGCTTCACCTGCCGCGCCTCATGGACTATCACGGGTGGCTCGGTCGTCACAATATCCTTCAGGATCTTCTCGCACACGGCATTTGCCGCCTCGGAGACCTCATCGATGGCGCGTATCAGTTTGCCCTCCTTGTGGAGTTTCCTTTGGGGTTGCATTTGATATTCCGCCTCCGGGCCCGCATCGGGCAGGTTGTCCAGCAGCATTTGGCCGCATCTCTTGGCCGCCTTGGACACGGCATCGATCTCCTGCAGCTCATTCTCCAGTTTCTGCTGCTCGGCATTCAGTTTGGGTCTCGCCGCCGTAATCAATGCCTCCCTGCGAAGTTCATGCAGCTCTTGGCTCAGCTTAATGCTGCTCGCCTGGGCATCCTGCGCAATTTTGTTGAGGGCATCGTCCAGATGCGGTTCGGGCGTGAGACTCTTCCTGGGCGCTGCCACAGGCGGTGCCTTCGGGGCGGGTTCCTCCTTGATGTTCAAACGCTCGGGCAGATGGGCAATGGCTCCGCCCTGACTGGGATGACGAAAGGGTATGCCATGGGCTTTCTTTTGCACCGCTTCCATCTCCTCATCCTGGGCTTTCAGCTTCCGCAGCAGATCCAGTGTGGCTGGTATGTCATTGGTGGCCTCCGCCTGAAGATTCGACATGCTGCCCGCCCGCTCAATGCTTTTGGTGAGCTCCATGTAGCTCCTAAGATCCCCACCCGAAGGCTTCGCGGCATCGCGATGGATCAGATTGTAGATATTCGCGGACTGCGTTCGTGTGGCCCGCTGCTTCTTTTGCATGGGATAGTGGAAGCTCGATTTGGGTCCCGGCGGATCTTTGCGCAGGGCGCGCACCGCCAGATCGTCCTTCACGATGTCCGGCGAGGTGCTCTTCTTCTTTTTGATCACTCGAATGGGCTCCACGTGCAGATAATCGGACTGGGGGGCGGGCACAATGGGACCCACGGGTATGCCAAACGGTGGCTGCCTCTCCGTCGACCGATGATGCTGCAGATTCGCCAGCTGCAGGTTCCTGTAGGCCACATCGTCCCTGACAGGATCTGGCTCGCCTGTCGGCGAATCCTCATCATCGTACTCATCCGCATGGGCCAGTGCGAACTTCTCAAAGTCACTGGGCGTGGGTACCCGCATCTTTGGCGTGGCTGAAGTCTCCGGCATCTCGGGCATCTTTCGATGAGCCTCTGGCATTTCTGCTTTGCTTTCCTGCGGCTCCGTGAGTCCCAGACTCTTGTAGATGGCCTCCAGCTCATTGATGGCCTCCTCCAAATTGGCAGGCTTTTTGCGTGGGAAGTACAGAGGCGCCGTGGCAGCGGGCAGGCTCGGCTTTCGTTCGGGATAGACGGGTGGCGGTGCCTGTTGGTGTTGCTCTCGCTTTTCGGCCACATATTCCTCGTATTTGTTGGGCAAATCCTCGCCAGATCTACGCTGATAATGATGCGGCATGGAGTTGGTCTTGTGGACATCTCGATGCCTGATTTCCACATAGTTTGGCTTAATCTGCAGACTGCCACACACCACCGTATCCTGATCCGGCAGCGGATTGGCCGGGGCAGCAGGGGCTGCTTGGGTTCGCTTGGGTTTCAGCACCTCCGAATACATGGGCATGGGATATCCTCCACGCAGTTCGCTCAATCGGGAGCTGGACATGGAGCGGGGCTTCACGATGGGCTGCTGTGCAGCTGCTGCTGTTGCTGTGGGTAGTCCACTCTTTGAGGTCCTTAGCATCCCACTGGAGGGTGGTGTTGCCTCCTGCTTGTCTGCCTCCATCATGTGTATGGGCTTGCGGGAGCGCGGTGTGGCATCTGCCACATAGTGGAAATCGATGCCATTTGGCAGGGATTGCTTGCCAGGATTGGCATTCCGCTCCGAACGTGTGATGAACCGACGATGATGCTGCTGGTGCTGCTGCTGCTGGCTCACAGGCGGCGCACTGGCTATCGAGGAGCCGGGCTGAGAGTTCAGTGAATGCACAGACTGATAGTGCGGCGCCGGCTGCCAAATCCTGTCGTCGGACACACACCTGCCGCTGTGATCAAAGGCATAGGAAACGGGACGCAAATCGCCCGAACTGGAGCCCACGGCATGCACACGTCTCAGTGGATCTCGTGGCGGCGGTGGCGGCGGCAGTGGCTTGCTCTGCATCCTGCCATTCACATTCTGCAAATGGATGTGACTGTCGTAGCTGATGCTTCGCTTGCCATCGTTCTGGATCGTGTTCTGCAGCGGTGGCTTCGGCTGCTGCTGCTGCTGTTGCTGTTGCGGCTGCCACTGGACATACGCGGCACTCGGCTGGTAGATGGACAGCGGCAGTGGCTGCGTTTTGTAGCGTTGCGGATTGGGCAGCGGTGGCACACCGCCATGGCTCTGCTCTCCGTCGCGTGAGAGGCGCTTGTAGTAGCGTTCGTTGCGTGCCGCACGACTGCGGCGACTGTTCTGGCACTGGGACTGAGTGGAGTGGCCCTGCATCAGGGCCTGTCCCCCACTGTGGATGCTCTCGTCGCTGCGGTATTTGGAGAAGGTCGAAGAGTTCAATGAGATCAGCTCCTCCTCAGCGCTGGAGTGATGCGCCCCAGGGGGTTTCCTTTGAGCCGAGCGCGACTTAGCCCCCATTTGGCCATGGGGCCCATGTGGCTGCGTATGCTGTTGCATGAGCCCACGTCTGTCCAGGGAATTGCTCATCGATCGATGGTAGTAGCCCGGGCCTGGCTGATTTTGGTAGTACGGCTCCGGCTGTTGCTGTATCGTTTCCACTGGCAGAAAAAACTCATGATCTATGGACTGCGGGGGATGTGGTGGTGGCGGTGGCGGCGCCTGCTCCTCGTATCTGCTGCTGCTGCCTCTGGTGGCAGAGGATTTCCCAGGCTTTCCTTTGGGCTTTCCACTGCCCGTCGACTGTCGTTGCGAGGGCACAAATCCGGCCTTGCGATCCTCCTCACTGGACGATGGACTGCACTCTGCTGCATCCTTTTTCTTGCCTCGAAATAGCCGGCCAAAGGACCATTTCTGTTTGTGGGACAACTGCTGGGAGGAGCCTCCAATGCTCCCACCATGATTGCCCCTCAATCGTTCCATCTGCTCCTGATCCTCCCCTTCTGCTGCTGCGGCTGCGGCTGCTGCTGCTGGCTGATAATTATCGTCGTAATTCTGGGTATAATGGATGTCCGCTTTGGTGGATATCACTTTCGTGTCGTTATGCCGTTCATCTGTTAGCTGCAGCTCCTTGGGCAGCGGCAATTGTGGCCGCCAAGTGGTCTGAACAGTCTGCAAAAAAACAAAAAAAACAATACAAAGATTAGCTTTATTTTATTTTTTGCTGAATAAACCTTCAACGGCATCGTAGATAATTTATGTGTAAGCATTATGTTTTATTTGCACTTAAAGGCAGACAAGCAGGGCAGGACAGGGCAAGGCAGGACAGGGCAGGGGTGGGGGAGCTGGTTCATTGGAAACTTCAGATAAGATTGTGTCTCAAAGGCCTTATGGCAGATAAGGGGCACCGAACAAATAGTCCGCGAGAAACTTTAACGATCTCTTTTCTGGCTGAATCTATCTGAATGATAGCTGTGTGTGCTTTTAACGACCTCACGTCTGGGCCCCCTAACCACAACACACATTTACATGACAACTAGAAATACTAGAAATATATGATCTTAACTGGAGCTTAAGCCACAGGGTCGTTGGTCCCTCGTTTGGGGATGGATCTGATCTTTGTGTATGGAAGAGGCTTTAAAGTCTTTGAAATACAAAACTTTCTCAATATTTAGGAGTATTTCTATTTACATTTTTTTTGTGCAGTTTTAGATAGATTTTGTACACCCTTCCATCTGTGTGGATACGCCCGTTAGGTAAAGTATTTTTAATATTTTCTTTGTCGTTTTTGCACATACTTTTTATCATTTATAAAATTTGCATACAGCTCCCACGCTTTGCTCAAAAGTTGAGCGGACGAAGCTCATTATAATGATAATTATCCACACAAATTAGATTTTCAGCCAAGTACTTTGAAAGATGACTAAAGAAAGGGTCTTATCTACGAGTAATTGTGGGATATTTAAGGCATTCTTGGAACCCATTTACTGGCACTATTTTATGATCCATCAAAGCGCTTGCCAACATTCGATTGGTGGCTCTTTCCATTATTCAATGGTCGCTTATTCATCGACATTTGAAAACTATTTAATCTTATCTGCAGTTAAGTTTTTTTTTGTGGCTAATTAATTAAATTAATTTTGCAGCCTTCGCCCACAATTCAATTTCAATTTCTATTTCATGCCACGAATTTTGTATCATTTTTTTTTTTTGCCGGATATTTAACAAAAATAAACCAAATTGCGTGTGAAATGTCGAATTTAGGTCTGTTTCTTTTTAAAGGGGGGCAATATCATAATGATATTTGTTTATACAGAAAAGCTCTCTCTCTACGATTCGGGGATGCGTGGGGTATGGACAGTGCGATCTGTGGATCTCTGGATGCATCATTTCCGTTGCTGACGCCATTGAAAATATCATCAGAATAATGTGAAGAAGATCAGGCGATCGCTGAAGCAATCGAACAACGTAAAGGGCAACACTTGACTCTGGCGCGGAGTGGAATATAAACAAAAATAACAAAAGGGAAAAGGGAAACATAAGCATAAGAAGAAGAAGAAGAGCTTATTGCTTGTTGTTGAATGACATTCGATATGGTGTGTGTGTGTGTGTGTGTGTGTGCGTCTATGGCCGGATATTCGATATCGTTTACATCTGCAAAACAAAAGCCAAAGATCCACACTTCAATTTGTCATCGCAATAATGGGATGCCTGTAATCCCACTCCATATGGCAGTTATGGCTGATTGAAAGATCACTGAAAGATGGAAGTTATGGCTAATTGAAGGAGATAATTCCATATGGCAGAGCTCTCTCTCTCTCTCTCTCTCTCTCTGTTGCACATGCAAAGATCACTTCTTCTGCTATATCTATAAAGAATATCACTTGAACATCTATTGATTCCGATTCGATACCAAAGATCGCAACGTTCCATTTCGTGTCTTCACCTCTTGAGGCTTTTTAAACTCTCATAAAAAGCGAACACATTTTATGAGTATTTCAACAAAACTTCTACTTTTTCCTATCCAACACATGTCATGTGTGCTGCGGTCTTGTCAGCAGCCCTGATTTACGAATGGAAATTTACCCCTAAATACACTTTTTTTTTTTTTTCTGACTGTGAAACGTGATTCAGCATCTGCTTAAAGCCAAATTATAGTTTAAATTTATAAACTGTATTTATGTAAATTACATGAGAAATATTTCGCTATGGGTTGGAGGAATTTATGGGTCTCCTAAACAGCTGCGTAATGTCGGGCATTTTGCCAGTAAAAAAGTTTAAGGCAAAAAGAAATACAACCTATATAGAGGCTGAAAATCACTCATACGCACGGCCTGTAGCTACGTCCAAATAATCTATGGCGTAAGCCGAACAAAAAAAAAAAAACAATAGAAACGTATATCAAACGTATGCTGCGGGAAACTATCTATAAATAATCACACGCAACTCCAGGCTGCGCGAAAAAAAAAAGATCCACACAAAAGGCATTTGGATTCCCCAAACTCAAATGGCGAATACCCAAAAAAAAAATGTACAAAAACCAAAAGAAGAGCAAAAAAACAAAATGTTGAAAAACTTATAAATAAAACGGGAGTCTAAGAAATAGTACGGGAATTATGTGTGTGATCCTATAGCTACTATAACTCAAATACAATCCGTTCTGCTGCGATCCGTTGCGATTCCGCTTTCGAACCAATTCAATCCGACACGAGCACGGGCTTTTTCTTGACTGAAAGTAAAGGAAAAACTGTATGCGCACACAGCACAGATCGATCCAATGCGTTGCCATCCAAAAGCTTTACACAAGAAGCTCCCTCCCCTGTGGCCGTAAGAGAGCGGCCAAAAGAACTTAAGAGAGCTACAGGCAAACAGTGGGGTGGGGTGGGTTGGTACTAAGAGAGAGAGAGAGAGCAGAACTTTACATGGGGTTTCAAATTATAGGAAGGCGTGATATGATGTAGGGCGGAGTGTAGGATTCCCTAGGGCACAAATCTCAATTAAGTAAACAGAAATTTTCAATTAAATTGATTTTTTCCCTTTAGAATTAGTTCGTTTTTAAGATCATTAAAAATGTATTAGGAATGACGGGGCTGGGGCTAAAGTCAATGAACTTTTAGGCACTCTAATTTAGACTGAAAAATACTATAGTAATATAATGCTAGGCAATGCTAGATAAATACCAGAAAATACTACAACAAATACTTGAATTATACTAGAAAAAATATCCTCCTCCCATTTGAAGGAGGAAAAATGTGTCACCTTTTTTTTTGTGGAACGAGTACGAGTAGGGGTATGTGGGTCTGTGTGTCTGCTGCCCGATTAACAACGTCATTAATGTCAAGATTCATTTTGGTTCTGCCTCGAAATCAACTTCTGGGGTTATGAATGTTATACCCAAAAATAGCCGCCGCAGTGCTCTTCTCTCTTCACTATAATGCTGATCGAAGATTGCTCTACTTTTGTCAAATAAATATGCCAGACTGAATCATTTCACCGACATTTACTAATGCAATTAACTTGAGGTAAAAAGAACCAAAAATACAAAAAATAAAAAGAAAATATTTAGACAGCTTGGAAAACAGAAACGGAAAGCAAAGCATTAGAACCATTCGAGTGCTATGCGGAAGATGTTTGTGCCCCGAAGGCAAAAAAAAACTAAAGTGCATGCCGTACCGTAAGTGGGTGAAATCTAATATTAGATAGACATTTTGTAGATACACGTTTATTTCGAGGAGATTCCGACTGAAACAGGCAGATATGGGTCAGAGTTTCTCAAGCTTTTTGATGTGGCTTTTTCCCCACCTGAAAGCCAGCCGCAACCTTGGCTGACAAAATTCTCGGCGAAAAAAAAACATGTTTTCTCTCTGTATATCGAATAAAATTTAATTTTAATTTGGTATCGGCTTATTCACATTTTTTTTTTTTTGGCAGCTGCGCGAGCAATCGAAAAAGTTAACGAACTGTAACTCGATTTTGAAAAATATATATTAAGAAATTTAATTGCAAGTTTAATGACTTTTAATTCTGTTAAATTTGCAAAGCAAACTTCAAAGCGAAAAATATGTACAATATATCTCAAAGATCTCTCTGGCTTGTCTGCTAAATTTTTGTTTTAAAATGTGGCAAAGTTTTTGCTGCGCGCCACATCCGCTTGCAAAAGACTATCTTCTATCTACACAAACAACACACAACACTCCACTCCAAAAGAAGCTGAAATTCCAGTGAAATATCTGTGTCAAAGTGAAGATTATCGCACATATTATGCAAAAGAGACAGAAATGAAGAAACATTTCTGACAGCAGCGGCAACAAGTGGTTTCGCTTGGTTTGAGGGCTCCAGCTCCAGCTCCACTGTGGGTTCTTTCACTTCTAATCTCTCGCCACAGCAACAAACGAATGTCTCTGTCTTCTACTGGAACCTCTCCACCTCCACCGAAGCATGCATAATCTTTACTAATTTCTCTTGTCAGTAGGAAGGGTCAATGACAGAACTCCCTCTTTCGCTCCCTCCCTCCCTCGTTTCCCTCATTCCCTGGAAAACTTTGGGAAAAACCAACCTTCTCCTCCTCCAACTCTTCCATAGAGTTCATTTCGTATCGTTTTTCATTATTATTTATGCACAGCACGTGTTGCATTGCTGTCTGGACGTCGGAGGGTGTCTACTGTTGTGGCAGCTCTCTAAACTGCAGCTGAAACTTGTGGCAGCTCCCTTCTAACGGCTGCCGTTGCAACTTGTGGCACGGCCCAATGACGAGTGCGTGATATTGTTGCTATTTGTCTGCTGTGCTGTTCCTATTGTTGTGCCGGTTGCTGTAATGCAATGCCTTGCGTGAGTGAACAGAGGGGGCCAAGGAGTCACATATTCGAACCAGGAAGTTAATTCAGTTTTTCTCGCATAATTATGCATATTTTTTCGGGCTGTTCGTTTTTCTCTTTCTACATTAAAAGCAACCAAAAATATGTGAAAATTTGTTATGTTAATAAGAGTTACAGGAGAGGGGGGGTTATAAAATTAATAGTTGTTGAAGGGGGTTGTTTCTAGTGATAAAACTTGGGTTGCATACACTAGTTTAGTCGAAATTCATTCTACTTTCCTATGCATTTAAGTGAGAAAAACATCTTCAAACTTCTTATTTTTTCGGGGGTTTTTCAATCAAATTTTTGTTATCCAAAGATTCATCTATCATTCAATCGTATCTTATCAGTTAAACCCCAATCGATTGAGCCATCATTCATTTGACTTAACCGGTTTCCGTTTGCCCCTCTTTTCATTCATAAAAAAAAAGAAATCCAAAAATCCCACGACACCATATCGAATAACATAATGCTTACGCAAATCCCTTCAACAGTTTCGCGTAATTATGCAAATCTCTCTCTCTCTCTCTCTTTTATCAAAGCCCAACTAAATGCTACAAATTAGTTGGTTTTTCATGTCGATCCCCCCCTCAACACAAAAGATCTTATAATATGACAAATAATTTTCATAAATTTAAATGGATATTTACCACCTGCTTGTTGGGGATCGCTGCTGCTGCCCAAAAGTGGAGAATGGAGCAGAGCGGCTTATGAAACGCACATTTCGGAGCAATTAAAAATCGATTTACATGCGAGAGTATCAAATGCAGATCTCTTAGCGTCTCAGCATCGCACTCTGGCCCTCTGGCGTCTGGATTTTGGGTGAAAATTAATGACTTCCAGTGAAAGTTGTTTTTGTATAACAAACACCACACCACATCGTATCGCATCGCATCGCATGAAAAGTGTAAACCAATAGACGCGACGCGTACCAGAGTGAGCCACATACGAGGCGGAGGCACCCCCCAGAGCCCAAGATCTTTTTTTGGTCAAAAAGTGTGTTTCTCGAGAAAAGGTCATTGGCCCGCCAGCAGCATTTGAAAATGAAAGCGATGGGACTTCTTTTTTGTTGGGTTTTTTGTGGTTAGGCTTTTGCGTGTGGATATGCAAAAAATGGCAGCCACGCAGAATTTCTATATTTTATACACCTAAAGAAATTACACGAATAGGTAAAGTGCTTCTGAAAAGTTTTTTCTGTTTTCATGGTCTGTTAATGCTTTTTTATGGGAGAGTGGCAGAAAACTTACAAAATCATAAAAGGTTTGCCAAAATGGCTCCAATTATGGAGCAACGAAATTTTGGTATAATTAATTTTAGCTTTAAATTAAGTTTAAGTATTAGAAAAATACGCAAAATAGAAAAACAAACACGAGTAAAGAGTTTGCAAAATACTAGAAGAATTACTGTAAGAACTCTAAAATAAAATAAAATACTATTGAATGTTGATTCAAATCCAAACCAAGAGAATTCTTTGTTCGAAACAAAACCGTAAATGCCTGCCCTTGCTTGTTGGATTTTGTTGGGTATCGGATCGGCGATTTCCGCCTACAATTAACACTTAAACGCCCAAGATTCAACTGAGAGTTAAGTTACAGTGAAATAAATTGATTTTCTGCCTCAATTTTGTTCGTCAATTAACACCATGACATATTTCTTAGTGTGTGTGTGTGTTTCTGTTTGTGTAAATTCTTCTCAAGCATTTCTGAGGCTGTGGCAATTTCCTTATAGTCAAAGGCTTTGAGAAATCTTGAACCAAAGTTTATTTTACTTTGACGTCAAGTCGTATAATTTTTATGATCTGTGAGGCCCTACAGAGACGAAGACGAAAACTCCATTAAAGACAGATCTCTCATACAAAGCGATTTTTGTTACAGTTTCCAACAGAGCGGAACATTTTTACTGTAAGAGAATGCATTTTGTTTTCTTTTTCTTTTTTCATTTTTGCACGCTTTGAAGTCGTTTTAATTTGTTTGTGTACTGTTCGCTGTTTGTTTTGCCCTGTTGAAGTCAGATTAACAAGCCATTAACACGTCGCAGTCGCAGTCACAATCTCCGTCGAAAGAAAGACCTGAATACTCTCAGACCCGAGACCTTGACCCACGCCCCCAGAGGTAACCAACAATTCAGTGGAGAAGGGGAAGAGATACACACAAAAGAGTTATAGAGCGGCGCTTCCCAATGTCATTTGGGGCGGAATTAATTATGGATTTGTTTAGGGCAATTGTTTAAAAATTATACTACAATTCGTGGATTCTGTTGGCACGCCAAAAAAACACACACACACTGCCGAAAACGTGTGCATCTTGGTGCTCTGTACCTCTGCTATTTCCGTAATATCTCTTCTCTACTACAAAATGGTTTTAGCCATGGCCAAAAAAAAAAAAACACAAACGAGCAAAAAAGATTCACATCATCAGTTTGTTTATAATGAAGACGAGTATACATACATACATACATACATATGTATGTATGTACAAATGAGCAGTACACAAATTGAGCAGCAGCCAAAATTTGGAAGATGTTGTAGCGTATTTTGGAGGTGCGTTTTCAGTGGAGATTTTGTTTTAAAATTTTGACTGTGAGTGGGTAAAATAGGTTCATATTTATGAGAATAATAACTGGAATCATTTTTGGCCAAATAAAAGTTTCTTCCTGCTTTTAGTTTGACTCTTCTTTCGGCCTGCTAAATTATCATTTAAAAATATCTTCAATTAGTTGGCTTAACAGTGACCAATGACTCGTACTTTAACACTGTTTCAATCACTGTTTTAGCACCTAGTTCTGCTCACGTCTCTTAACATCTTTCTAGTTCTTCCTTCCATATATTTCTACATTCT